TGTGTGTGTGTGTGTGTGTGTGTTGTAGATCCGAGCGGGTGAACCTGCGGCCATAATCTCCCGTGAGCTTTCCGAACAGACCAAGGGTCACATGCACGCGGGTGACATCACCTACACCGTCCGGGCCATGGGTCACCTGATCGACCTGCTGGATGTCCAGCTCAGAAATCTCACCCCCGGAGGAAAGGACAGCGCCGCCCGGAGCCTCAACAAGGTACTGCGTCTGACATACAACACTATAGTATATGTCAAGTCAAATGTATTAGTATAGCGCTATAAACACTGTTTCAGAGCAGCTTTACATAAAATCATGATGTTGGTGTTAATAATATCTTAATATATTCATGCCTTAAAGTTGTGTAGAGCTGAGGGATAACATTTTGCAATCTGAAATCATTCATACTAGAACCTGACCGATATATCGTTTTGCCGATTTTATCGGCCGATATGAGCCTGTCACAGATATATCGGTATCGCCGAATATGTCACTGATGTGACCATTTTTTTTAACAGAACATAAAACGCAGATAAAATGCTTGTAAATGGTGTAATTACGTAGTTTGTCCCACAGAGCACGCTCCATTGTTTGCTACTGGCGACCTGGATGAAACACTTTTAAAGCTTAAGTGTATGGAATACTGCTGAAACTTTGAACGGTCATATCTCCGTAAGGGCGCAGCGGATCCGCACCAAATTCGGGGGATCCCTTCAACTCGAGGACGAACGCCGAATCGAGTGTACATTTCAAGGCCCCCTCTCGAATGAGACCACCCCGGCATCGATAGCCCATGGGGTCCGGGAGTTATGGGCGGTTAAATTCGTGGTCAGGCTCGAGCTGAAGGGATCCCCCGAATTTGGTGGAGATCCGCCGCCGCATGCGCGAGATAGTGACACCAGCCAACACTTTCACTTCAGTTAGGAGGTCTCTTGTTCAGGCAGCAGCATTCAAGCGTTGTCTTAAGTGCGAAGTGGACTTCACATGATATTCCGCCATGATTCCAGTTCCAAGGGAACATACACGTTACTTTCAAAGGGCATTAAAGTGCATGAGATGTGAATTTACATTGTATTTATTTACAGAGGTATTTTATGTCACACTTCACACTTCTCTAGTAAGTTTGTCTGTGTGTGAAGACAGTTGCGCAAATCCGTGAATGAATGTTCTGAAGTGAAATAAACTCCAACGAAATAAAGTTGAATGGAATTGAAATAAAGTTAAATAAACTTAAACTTTACTGTTAAGTGCACTGATGTCAGACTCATTTTGGATAATAAAGTTTAAAGGGGTGGTTCATTGCGATTTCACTTTTTTAACGTTAGTTAGTGTGTAATGTTGCTGTTTGAGCATAAACAATATCTGAAAAGTTACGAAGCTGAATGGTCAATGCAAACGGAGATATCGTCTTTTAAAATTCTGGCAGTTTAATGCCTACAAAAATGGCTGGTAGGGACTACAACAAGTTACTTCCCGGGTTTATGACATCACAAACCCAGATAAACCCCGCCCTCCGGAAAAGGCAGCAAAGGGGGCGAGGCCATGCTGAGCTGCTTTAGAGAAGAGGAAGAGAAAACTAGAGGTGCACGTATAAATCTATATGAATCGCAATTCTGTCTTCTAACGATTCTAATAGATTCACAAGTTTCAAAATCAATGTTCTAAAGCAGCGGTTCTTAATACTGTTCCTCGCGTCCCCTGCTCTGCACACACTCTGCATCTCTCTCTGTCTCTCTTTCTCTCTCTCATTCAGCTCAGCTCCAGCAATTAACTGTTACACTTATTTTCACATAGCTATGAGAAGCGTTAAATATGGACGCGAGCGCAGTTACCGTACTGTATTAAAGCTTTAATCAGGATAAGACTGTATATTAAAGCTAATATAAGCAGTAGCATTTACAAATAACAGCGTATCTAAAAGTATGAGACAACAACAAACAAAAAACCTAGGTCTACCATTAAAAGCCGAGCTTGCACAGGTTCTATCATCTTCAATAATATCCTCTGCTTCTAAATCGGGCTCAAACTGATATGTGATATTAATGACGCCTTTGTTTACAATACAACCAGAGCACATGCCGCTGAGGTGAGGGGCGGGACGTTTAGACGTGTACTAGAGGCGGTTTAGCCAATCACAACACACTGGGCTAGCTAACCAATCAGAGCCCATCGCCTATTTCTGAGGGCGGGGCTTCATAAAAGCAGGAAATTGATCACTGCGTTTCTCAGAGAAGGGACAGAGCGGTGTGGAATAAAGGTATATTATGTGACAAATAATGCGTTTTTCAAAAAACGAAGCATTAACACATGTTAGACTGCACCCCATAAACACAATTAAGCCTAGAATAAAACCACTGAACCACCCCTTTAATTGTTAAATGCCCTACCTCCATTACATATCTTTGTCACGTCATTATAAGTGTTTGATCACAACATTTGAGTGATCATTACTAAACATGTGTTTATGTATATACTGTATATTCTGTTTATGTATACTGTATCACTGTATTCTATATAGAGTACCTTACTATATGTATATAGTACTATATGTATAGTACTGTACTATACTATACACAAAGGATATCGGCTGATATATCGATATCGGTGGTTTTTGTACAGCCTAATATCGGTATCGGTCCCCAAAAACCCATATCAGTCGGGTTCTAATTCATACCCAATTATACTGCCTTTCAATAAAATGGTTGCTCAGCTTCTGCAAATGGTTGCACAGAAATATGTAAAATGTGTTTGGACTGTGAGGTCAGAGCATCCCGGACTGATTATTTCAGGGACAAACAAAGAGGAATATGTAATGGATGTACAGTCAACCAGTTATTTTCACAAAATAAACCCTGACTGGGTGATCGGGACCTGGCGCAAAGCTCATTACCAGATAAATAAATAAAGGGACATGAAATATCGATTTGAGTTGAAATGATTCAGTAGTGTGAGAAGAGAGCAGAGAGAGTGCAGCACCAATGAGCACTTCCCGGGTTTATGACATCACAAACCCAGATAAACCCCGCCCTCCGGAAAAGGCAGCAAAGGGGGCGAGGCCATGCTGAGCTGCTTTAGAGAAGAGGAAGAGAAAACTAGAGGTGCACGTATAAATCTATATGAATCGCAATTCTGTCTTCTAACGATTCTAATAGATTCACAAGTTTCAAAATCAATGTTCTAAAGCAGCGGTTCTTAATACTGTTCCTCGCGTCCCCTGCTCTGCACACACTCTGCATCTCTCTCTGTCTCTCTTTCTCTCTCTCATTCAGCTCAGCTCCAGCAATTAACTGTTACACTTATTTTCACATAGCTATGAGAAGCGTTAAATATGGACGCGAGCGCAGTTACCGTACTGTATTAAAGCTTTAATCAGGATAAGACTGTATATTAAAGCTAATATAAGCAGTAGCATTTACAAATAACAGCGTATCTAAAAGTATGAGACAACAACAAACAAAAAACCTAGGTCTACCATTAAAAGCCGAGCTTGCACAGGTTCTATCATCTTCAATAATATCCTCTGCTTCTAAATCGGGCTCAAACTGATATGTGATATTAATGACGCCTTTGTTTACAATACAACCAGAGCACATGCCGCTGAGGTGAGGGGCGGGACGTTTAGACGTGTACTAGAGGCGGTTTAGCCAATCACAACACACTGGGCTAGCTAACCAATCAGAGCCCATCGCCTATTTCTGAGGGCGGGGCTTCATAAAAGCAGGAAATTGATCA